GTGATTAGTTATTGTAGTGGCTCCACATTCTGTGTGGGTAAAGGTCATAAAGGAATCTGGCAGTCAGTTCAAGAAAACAATATTTCTTTTGGTTGTAACCCAAAACCGAGCAACAACTGAGTATAAATGACACGTGACGTAACACTAGATGTTCGTGAGCCAGACGGAAACCGAGGGCGCATATTAAAATGTGCTAAAAATTTCTCTGCAGTGCCTGAATGTGTAAATAAGCTGCTAAAACTAATAACTAACACATTGCCTAAATGCAATGGTAATTTGTCAATATTGTGTTTACAGCTTGTTCTGCCGCCTCTAAGTGGCAAAAACATTACTGCATCCCGTATTGCGCAGCGAACATACATTATGGAAAATGAACAAGCATGCCAAGAATTCGACAAATGCATCTTAAAACAGTGGATATAATGCCGTTCGTGTTTCACAGCAAGTGGTGCGGGCTGTGAGGAGTTATGTGAGTTTTCAGAGGTATAACCTCAGGCAGGAAAACGCAAGCCATGCTGCTTTGATGCAATATAGATTCAAAGACAAATACACATGACCAAGCAGCCATGTGCACACGACGGCATACAGATATCTCATGACCCTTGTTTTCAGCTTCCAAACTCTAGCCTTGATTACCTCTATTTCCATCTTCTTCTAAGAATACCAAAGAGATGGAAACCTTGAGAGAAGATATTTAACATGAGGTTGTTTTAAAAAGAAATCTTTTCAGATAGATGTTGCAGGTGGGTTACAAAAATTACCACCAGGCAAACTAGAGCGGAATTTATGTGCCGAGCAACCTATGTCATCAATAATTCCCTTTAAACAGAAACTTTGATTAATAAAAGGTGCAAACTTCAAACTCTAACTACCTTTTCTGGTGTTGTTTGCCCAACTGTGTTTTCTTTAAAGACATGTGCGAGCGTGCGTCTGTCTGTACGCCGCTGAGTGTCTGATGGGCCTCTGTATGTGTTTCCTTTTTGGTCATTTTGAGAGGCTGCAGGAAGGGAAGATTTTTCTCATCATCACTTCAGCGGCTTCTGGTGTCAACAAAAAGAGAAAGATCTTCACACGGGCCGAGTCCTCGTATCCAACAAGCGCGCTCATTCGACACGAAGCTGACAGGAAGTTTCATAAATAAAGAAAAAAAAAAAGAAGGAAAAAGTGACCTAAATCAAACCGGTTGCACCTTACGGAAAAACAAAAACAATCCGTGACAAACATCCTAACCAGCCGCACATGAAAGCGAGCGTGAGACCTGAGAGAGGAGCCGGGATGCAAAGAATTTGTGGGAATGAGGAGCGAGCTCTCAGGTGGACAGCCTTGTAACAGAGTGAACTTGGGCAAAAAAACCCAACAATTTCAGCTCCACATGCATTATGCTCAGCACCAATATAAACCCAGAGCTTATGAAGCGAAGTTTGTCAAAGTCATGTTGGTTTTGAGACTCACCGAAGGGAATCAATCCTTGCCTCGTCGAGATAAAGCGCTCCCTTTTTCTCTCCTCCGAGCGAAGCAGCTCAAATTAACTGACTTTCTGCAACAACCGACTGAGTGGGCATTAGGACGCCGTTTAAATGAAGCATCTGTTTCCTGTAATGGGCAGAATGAATCGCGTTCCTGCCTCACATCAGTGTCGCAGACTTCGTGCTCTGTGAATCACAGACTCTTCACCAGGTCAAACAGCCCAGGATGAATCATGCATACTCACGAAAAGCTCCTCATCTCTGAAATGTTTTCTCGCTGCATGAACCAACATGCAAACAGCATATCAAATAAAAGGCACTCTCCTTGGTGTGTCTGGATGGCTTACACATGCATCGCAGGGTGTCAGTGTAACACCTCTGGGCTCCAACGCCACACCAGCAACAGCTCTTTGGGACATAATGACTCCATGTGTGTGTTTCTGTAGGAAACATTTTTAATGTGGTAACAGACATTGTTTAGTGCGCCACAAGTTTACTTTAAGCTACTTAAAAATAGAATGAATACTTGGATTGTTCTTGTCAAGCAGAACACTGTATTACAGTACAGTGTGCTGTGTGCTTTTTCTTGCCGAGTTATTTGGCTTGAAAGCATGCTGGTTAGTGTATTTACATTGTTCAGCGAAAGGTTTTCTGAAGTTTCACCTAAGAAGAAATTACCAAAACCCTGAAAAAGTCAAATTAACCCCTAACACAAAAGAAAAAAAGGAAAAGCAAAGATGAAAGTTAAAAAAAAAATCAATATGATTTGTGTGCAGAACTCAGTTTTCTGACCCCTTTTCAGAGTCTCGGGCAACGCCGCCTCAGAGAATATAGCTGAACATGCTGAATTCAGCTTGTGCAGGTGGATAAAGGTGTAGCAGCAGTGATAAAGATAGCACAGTAACAGCAGGCCTTGAATAGGCAGGCGATTGTTGATTTTGGATTTTTTTTTAAAATGCTTTGTGGTGGCTTTATGTTATCCTCAGAAATAAAACCCACTATGCCAAACAGGAAAAAAAAGAAGAAACCCAACAATGTGGTACAACTACAGAGCAGTGAAATGACAATACTCTGCTGTTCAGAACAACCTGTGCAAAAATGTGTGCATGCACAAACACAAATGCCCACAGACAGAGAAAGGGGGCCCGTAATCTCTCTTCTCTGCAGCTCATATAGTCAATCGTGCAAGATACAATTATACCCTGTGACCTGGGATCACCTACAGGAAATGAAAAGCATAACAAAAGAAATTCGAAAAAAGAAGAAGGAAATAAAAAGAGTAGATTGCTGAAGGGGTGTACTTTCAAACACAACTGTGAGCGTGACGGAAAAGGGAAATTCAGCCTGACAATACAAACAGGAGACGGATTCATCTTAACAGTTAACAGGTGGAGGCAGAGTGTCCTGACTATTAAATCAAACGCACTGGTTGCATAAGAGGAAGAAAAGCCATAAGGCACTGTGCATGTTTAGCGGACCTTCAGAACAAAAGCGGAATGTGACGGTTTTGTGATCGTGATCCATGGACTCAAGGACGTAGAACAAAGCAAGAACAAATACACATGTGTGAGCATTTTAGGAAGATACAAATATATCTGCGCACTGACCTACTGGGTTTCACTACTTGGGAACTTGTCTCCGGTTTCCATGGTAACGCTCATGACCTTCACCCTTCTCCATGTATCTTTTGCAATATGGCTTGCACACTCAAGACCACCACCTGTGATTACTTTACCTATCAAAGGACCGTCTTTGTGGGCACCGAAATAACGATTACGTCTGTCCGCACACCCACTAGTACTGGTTCAGTCAGAAACAGCCTCATCGTGGTTGTTATAATCAAGACGCGTGTTCAGAGCAGCATCTTTGTTTCAAGCTGGATTTCTGTGGACGTGCTTTGGACTTGAGGCTCCAAAGGTACGGTGGGTCGGTCACAGGTTACTGTGGAAATTAGATGCTTAATCCTAGTCCATGTTTCAAAAAGAGCCACATAAAAGCAGGCATTTAAAATTTAGCTGCTACAAGGCAGTATACCAGATGATGAAATTTATGTTAACAATGTAAAGACTGAACTATAAAATAATTGCCAGCTGTCATATTTGCTACATCTGACATTTAATTAGTGTGCAATTTCCTTTTGTTTGCATTACTTTTTAATGATAATGTATTAGTCTCAATAACTGACAAAAACTCATGTATCAAAAAGGATTCACTTCGCTATGATAGGGTTAAAATGTGCAGTGTCGCTGAGTAACACTTTACTAAGCAACACCTTATAAGTCACCTTCCTTTGCAGAAGTGGTAGCTGGACAGATAAAGCAATGTCAGCAGGAGATTATTATCACCGATTGTCACCGAGTAGTTATTAGCGAGAAAAAAATTTCACTGCCCTGATGGTTTAGAAAAGCCTTGCGACATTCAGCATTAGCGATGGGTCTGTTTATGTGTCTTCACGTGCCATTTCTTCTTTAAATGTCAGCTAAACCTGTGGACATGTTAGCGCTTCAAACTCAGGGCCATGTTGGTAAAGATGAGCAGGTTGGGTTGCGTGTTATTGCAGCAGATGGAACAGAAGAAGCAAAAAATAATTACAAATCCTCCTGTTTTTAATTTGCAAACGTAAAAAAAAAAAAATGAATCAAGTGCACAACTGCAATATGTAGGTGTGCAACTGGTGTCCACCTGATCTGAGTGGCATCAGAGATTCCACATTACTCGAGCTCAGTTTCCTGTGAAACCGACACAAAGACTGCATTCAGTTTGCACATCGAGCTAACGCTATCCTCGCTCTGTGCCTGAAACAATCAGCAGATGTTCATTTCAAATGCTCCTTTGTAATCTTCTCCCAAACAGAATATTTAGGTTCCCCTTGGGTGAAATCATCAAACCTAACAGTAAAACGCAATTTTATGGCTTTCAAACTGCGCCAGCTATTTATTTACATATCTCCGCGCTAGCTCTTAATAGTCATGTCAAGCACTTTGTAAGAAGGGAACAGCATTAATAATGCTCAGGACCAAAGCTTATCTGTTGCTTGCGATGAGACAATGTGCCCCCCTAAAAGGCAAACAAGCGATCTTCTTTGTGGTGAAATTACTGATTATATCCTCACAACCCTTTAAGTAAGCATGTGCCCTGCAATGTCCACTGACTTTCAGAATCTAATGTTCAAACATAGAAGTGTTATTGGTGTGGGGGAAAGATGCTATATATTTATTCTTACGGACCTCACACTGGAATTTCTTGTCATTTTTTCATTTAAAAGCCTCTTAGGAAAAAAAAAATCAGTTATTTCCACTTCAATTTTCCACAAAAAAACAAAGATGATTAGAGCACTACTTTATTCTCACTTGCTAACAAATCGTCCCTGAAAAAAAAAGCCCTGGCAACTTTCAGAGCTCTCCTAAAAATTGCTCTTGTGGATGGATTTCCTTTGCCAGCTAAGTTTCAAGAGAAGATGCATAGACACACAAGTCTGAGTTTAGGTTTGAGGGATACGGTCCAGCAGCGAGCGGGACGGAAACATGCCCTTACCTGAGGCTCAAGGTCAGTCGTTCATCTTTTGCCCTCAGAAGATCTCCAACTGAAAATGTGGCACTACCCAGGAAGCTGCTCTGTAAATACAGGACAAAGAAGAAAGAAGCCCGTAAATGAAGTATCAGGTAAAGAGTTAAACAATTAAAAAAAACAACCGAACTCCTCTTTTGGTCGCACCATAGAGGTGATAGCAACAAGCACAAGCCATTTGCCAAGTACAATTCTGAAACTTCTGAAAACAAGTTCCTTTTTTGTCTCCCTTTAATCCGCTTTCTTTCCTTTCTCTGCTCCGACAACATGTGTTTGCTGCAGGCACAGTATGAACACGGGGTGTCAGCACACGAGAACTGGGTCATGGAGAGAGAGGTAGGGGACGAGCCCATCGGTAACGAAGAGAGACGATCCACATTTCTAGGCTACGCGCACGTTCCCTCCTTCCTTAACAGGAATGGCCAGATACGTGCACGTCTACTCACACCTACAGTCCTGCACCTGCATGTGACACCTTCAACATGAAAACTTGTATAGGAAGGGGGGAGGGCTGCGACTGTGCCAAGGACACAGGCTGCTGCTCCTGCTGCTGCAGAAACCTCTAACATGTAGGTAATTAACAACAGGTACAAAGGTGATTCCCAGCATTTCATCATAATGAGGGAGACACTTTAATTAAAGTATCCGCACACAATCAAGATGCTTTCAGTCCTTTTTTTCTCCCAGAATTTTGCTGTTTATAAATCCTACATTTATACGCTACTGATGGCTCTTCCAAAACTAAAAATAGCAGCATGTAACAGTTTGTGTCTCGCTCCTGTCTGTTCTTACATGTTGTTGTCAAAGGCTTTGCCCTGCCTCTGAAGATGAAGAAAGTGAAGTCAGTTTTTTTAAATGAATGCAAAAAAAAGTTTAAAATATACAACATCATCTGCAGAATTAACTGGAAGCAAACCTGAAATATAATAATAACTGCTATACCAGAAACTATCTCTAGTCGATAGACGGCGGAGAGTAAAAGTGTCAAAAACAGCAGTTCCTCCAATGGCCACTTGAAGCTTCCTGTCACTTCTTAAAGTGCTTAAATTTTAAATGAACATCCTCACTGCATGGTAACTTCCCCTTTCATAACAACTTTCATGTGGGGGTGAAGACAAGACAAGAACTAACAGACTTAAAAACTCCTTTGTCCCACACGCCATCAAACTGTTTAACTCCTCTCTGGAGGG